TGGTGAAAATGGCAGCTACATGCGCCTTTTGCTATTTATCACCTCAGTACTTCCAACATCACCACTCCGCCATCTCCTTTCCTATCTGCTTCTCATACAGTGGGTATTGGGACCACTTTTAAAATGAGCCTGGAATGACCATTTCATTCCATTCCAGTGCCACGAGTCTATGCGTTCATGGAATACGTCATGATCACCGCCTATGGGGCTTTTCACATGACATCGCTTATCGACATCAGGCACATCTCGTTCATGTGTTATCCGCGTACTTGCTCCGGCGAATGCGAACCTTTGGACCCGGCCAACTTTGCGAAGGGGTCCAAGTTCGAGCACTGCCGTGCTTATGAATACCAACAACGTCGAGTGCGCAACTTATAGTCGTTTGAGTGTATGCTTTGTTGCACTTCTCTCAGTGTATCTCCAAGTTCGATTCTAAACCAATTGTCCCAGGAATCTCAACTCTATGTGATAATTGCATTCATTGATCCACACATACCTTTTTCCAATCTCATGGCTCACAATTACATGAGAGCATATTACCAATTACGATGAAATGTTGTAAGCTGTTGCTCAAAAGCGCTAGTATAGTTCCTGCTCCTAAGAACTATCCATTCCACATGAATTACTCAAACTGAAGCTGTTTATGCATCCGCTGGCACATATATGTAGAAGCACCAAATTTTCGACATTATTAATTCACTACAATATAAGAGTTATGAATTAGGATAAAGAAAACCTCCACTTCTGCCAATTTTCGCACCTCATTTTTCCTCATGATCGTTGATGAAAAAAAGCGGTTCTTTCGCGCTCCATGCTTCTAAATGATTACATCTAACTTTTCCTTTTTTCTTGCTCATAATTCTGCTCAATCCTTCCTAAATATTCTAAAACTTTGGTACAATAAGCATATTTGTTTGTTTTGTTTGACCACGCATCAAATATAACACAAAGAATTGACGGACTTTTATTCAAACCAAGTATCCTACATTGCTCTACCAATTCATCGCATATTAGTCTCACTTTTCACTGACAAATAGGTAGGAAAAGCGCGTAAATAGGATTGCAGCCTCCAGTGCGAAACAGTAGCCTCATGCCCTTGTGTTTTGGTGCTAACTATTAATCTATAACCTGGATGTCGTAACTATATTACCGAGTGCCAGTAAATATCCCTTCAAAGTATAGTGACGGATAATCATCTTTTCTAAGAAAAGCTATTGCGATATGATTCTAACATATGCAAAATTCAAGAAATTTTATAAACAATTCATTAAGTTCAATATAGTTCATGAAGATAGTTCAAAATTGTTAGTCAATAGTTTAGCGCATGCTACGCCCCACATTTTACCCATACCAATACGCCCTAATGTCATAGTAATTGAGCAGATACGTGTGGCATTGTATGCTTGCGGGAAATTTTTGAGGTAAGGTGTTATGGCAGAGATAAAATGATTTTTTCTAAAAAGATTTCCGGCTCTTGTGTTATAAGCCCACTGACGTGAGAAAGACGAGTATCCCCTAACCACACCTGTCTAAATGACAATGAACCACATCGTGTGTTTTCGGAAACTGAAAAGTATTTTCCATTGGTGGGTAAAAAATTCTTTACTCCATTCACATCGTGCGATATCGGGGAGTAGCCCAAAACGTTTTGCGAGTCGGCCGCCATAGACAATGTGTTATTCAGACTACCATCTTCTAATCTACTCTCGTTGCAGTCAGAACATCAACTAGTTTCCTCTCCCCCGTACTTAGTTCTTCTATTCTATGAACTTTTCCCTTTTTTGGTCCTCAAGCAAGCATAATATATCAGTGAAATAGTCAGTATCAGTATAGAAAAATGTT